CCCGTAACTTTTAAAGACGGAGGACTGTGTATAAGAATGCAATCAACTTCAATTTTTTCACCCTTGTAGCTAAATTGGCAATAGCTGCCCCAACAACAGCCATTGTTAACTCCTCTGGGACAATACAGATATTCAAGCATGCCTGCTCCCCGCTGGTTAGCTCTTGTTGCCTTCAGCTCTGCCTCACCATGCCCTACAAAACAGAATGTGTGAAACAGACAAGAGAGAGCATTCAGTCAGTAAGCATTGTTTTACTAAGGTGGCTGTTATGGCTGAACGGGTGCGTGGGTCATGTTATGTAGCCTGTGAGATATGGGTTTCGAGCTTGCAGCAGTGCTAAGCAAGTGTGAATGAGGTGAATCAGATGAATGTTTGGTATAAGACCTGATTTTTAGAGACTATTGGTAGGTGAATGATCAGGTTGGAGTGAATTGAACAATAACTGAGGCCAAATTTCACAGAGATGTTACAGAATCACAGAAATGTTAAGGCACAGTAGGAGGCCATTCAGCCCATTATGTTCATACCAGAAAAAAAATGATGTGCAGGCACCAAGAGATTGGAAGACCTGCTGTTTTTAGATAGTGGCTTTAACCTAATGCATGATACATTCACTGACCTTGACCACTCATGGTGGTTCACTGTACTTCTGACAGGAATGCATCTGGGTCCTCAGGATGAGCTTGACCTCTGCAGCTATCTGCTACCATTCCCTCATCAACGTGTGTGTGGAAGAATTCCTCCCTCCTCGTATATACACGGTATCTTGGCTAATTCCCACCTCATTTATGTAGGTCCCCAATGCAATGACACAAAACCATGGACACTGCTCTTCATTTTGTCACCGCCACTATCTTCAAGGTCAGGCCAATTTCCTGTACAACTGCCAGCAGGTAATCCACCAAAAATGTACTTTCCCTTTAAAAGATGCAAGCTGCCTTTAGACAGTGTTAGTCATTCATGATATTGGTCCCCTGTTGATACATTGGCCAATTATGGCACTGTTAATGCTGACTAAGTGCTGAAATTATTGAAATGAGCAGGCAGCACAAAGTTGCTACGTGGTATAGAACAAAACTGGTGAGCATGCTATGAAATCTCTGCAACTGTTTTCAGAATCTATCAGCTTTATCTTATGGAATTCTGAGGGTTTAATAGTAATCTGTTACAGTGGACTGAGAACTGAATGAAAGCCTATTGTCTCAAAGGTGTGTGTATGAGATGTGGGTGTGGGTGTGTGTAATGTGTGCGATGTTTAATAAGCTTTTCCTAATCCCTCATCGTCCTTGATGCTTGCATTGAACATTTTGTAATCCAATTCTTCAGCTATTTATGTGATTGGACAAGATTGACTTCTTTGCTAATACCATTCACTGTTTTATGTGGCCACCATCATAAAAGACATTTCTAGTGTAAGAAAAGGAGTCCTGCAACATGAAACTTTGTTCCAAGCCATATTTGTGATGCAGTAACTGGTCTGACAAATTGGGGCAACGACTGAACAACCTCTAATACTAGTAAAATCTAGGATATAAACAAACCTCACTGCAACAGGCATTGATTTATTGGAGTAACAGAAAAAGATGGAACTATTGCTTGAAATATTTAATGCACTTAGTGAAATTTCCATCTCTAAATTGCAGTTCAATTATAAGGGGGGGGGGTGTGTCAGTCTTAAGCAATTCTTGCCCCCAGCTCCTATTTTTAAACAGTGAATTCGATGGTGCAGATCTATGTTTCATGTATCAAATTTTGCAACAAGTTTGCCTGTTTGGGTGGACAATGCGGTAGATTGGTTCAGTTCTCCCCGTGTTGTGGAGATGTTCTTCTACTGACATTGTTCTTTGATCATTTTCTCACAAAGAATGCCAACCATTAAAGAAAATAGAAATATTTTGTTTTGCACTTGCTGTGGTACCCATGACACAGTCTGAAGAAGACAATGATATCATTAACAGGTTACTGTATCTGGATGGCTCCCCAGTCATTCTTTCACAGTCTGCTTATATTGTGTAGGGGTTGGTTAGCTCCATTGGCTGAATGGCTAGATTTTGATGCAGGGTGACAGCAATGGTGCAGGAATTGCTTCTTTTCCCTCACCCACTGAGGTTACCATGAAAGTTCCAACTTCTCAACCTTATCACTGGCCTGAGGTGTTGTGACCCTCAGGTTAAAATCGCCAACAGTCGTCATTCTCTAATGAGAGAGCAGGCCTATGGTCCTCTGGAACTATGGTGATTTTTACCTTTTACTTATATTTTTGTGGAACTATTTAGTCTGAGAGCAAAGTTGTTGTGGAAATGACTCTGGGTATAATGCAGGGTGGTTTTGCAGACCTACAAATTTCACATAATTTTGATTGATGGGCAATTGTTTAAAAGTTTCATTTAAACGTTGCTCCTGGGTTCTGTAACTTCCCTGATGGGTACAAAGGGTTTATGTAGACATTTCACAGGCCTGCATAGAGATCAGACTTCTGAAATGACAGGTGCCTCCAGCCTCGACACTTAAATGGCTGGAGGCATAATGTCCCCAGAGGTGAGTGCAAAGCCTGCCATAATGGGAAGCCTCTGTGGTTAAAACTCATGTTTCTAGCACCACAGTACAAAACAAGATGCTAAATTAGATTCAAAAAATGTAATGCAAAGTTGCTAACTTCTTGTTTTTGTAATTCTATATTGACCCAATATCATAAATCGCTATAGAGTATTTACATTTGAATGTGTTGCTCTTCAATTCAATGATTGACTGGTCTGCTGGCTAGTTGCAGCTTTGGACCACTACAGCTAGTCAACGATATTGCTGAAAGGTCCCAAGAGTTAGCGAGTTTACCTGCATCCATTAAATATGACAGAACAGGACAAATGGGATTATTTACTTGTAGATGACATTTGGGAACATTCAATCCTTTAAAGTTCAAAGAAAAGCTACAAACTAATAGTAAAATGCAAATGCTATGAATGGCAGAAGGTCAAATGGAGTCTGGTAAGATAGTAGTTTTTCTAATGGCAATCTAGAAATATGAACTAATTGTCCTTTGCTTAAATCCCACACTGGCATCTTGTGAATTTCAATTTGTTTTTAAGATGACCTTAAAATGAAAGTTGCGGTCACTATCTTATTTTTTGTAAATATCCAATTAATTTGTTAATGTATTTAAGTACAGAAATGGAATGGTTTTATGCTGTTCGACTTTGTACAACCACAATCCCAAATCAATTGCCTCAACTCTTAAAATGCCATCTGAAGCAAGTTCCTCATTGTAACAAATTGCTACAAAGATTAAAGTGGTTCATAAAGGAGGATCACTAACTTTTTGGGAAAACTAGGGACAGGCAATAAATAGCAGTTTTGCCAGAGATTGTCACATCCTAAGACCATTTTGTCTTAAAAATTGAGGCATATTTATACAGTAAATGACATAAAACTAGGACTTGTAGTAGAAAATACATCTTAAATGCAGGGTGGGATCATTAATTATGGTTTCACTTGAATGAAGCACTCACAAAGTATTTTTAGTGTACCCCCAGGGCAGGAGTTTTGCTGACAAGGTCAGGATTTGGTTTCCATTTCCAATTACTGTTGAGAAGGTGATGGTGAGCCATCTTCTTGAACTAATGTAGTCCCATCTAATTCACATACATTCAGAGTGCTGCTGAGAAGGGAGTTCCAGGACTTTGATCCTGTAACAGTGAAAGAGAGCTGGATGTAAATCCAAGCGCGATTGCTTGTGCTAGGAAGGGCACTTGCAGGTGGTGGATTTGCTACGGATTTGCTATCCATGTCTTTCAGGATGTAGAACTTGGAGTATTGTCAAAAAAACCTTTTGTTAAGTTATTGTAGTGCATCTTGTAAGTGGTACGCACCGCTGTGACCGTGCATTAGTGGTGGAGAGAATGAATGTTGAAGGTAGTGGATGGGGTTCCAGTCAAGCTTCTGGAGTGTTGTTGGAGTTGCACCATCCAGGCAAGTGGGGTGTATTCAATCACACTCCTGACTTGTGTCTTATAGTTGGAGGACAGGCTTTGTGGAGTCAAGATACTCCCCAGCCTCTGACCTTGTGTTATATCCACAATATTTATATGGCTACTACATTCAGTTTCTGGTCCATTGTAACTACCAAGATATTAGATGTAGGGGAAATCTATGATGTTAGTATTATTAATATGTCAAGGGAAGCTGGTTAGATTACCTTTTGTTGGAGATGATCACCATCTGTCAATTGTGTGATATGAATGGTATCTGCCACTTATCAGTCTAAGGCCAAATGTTGTACAGGTTGTTGGCATAAGCTGTTTCAGTACCTAAGGAGTTAGGAATGGTGCTGACCTTTGAGTTCATACAAGGTTCAAGCTTGTAATGTTTCATTCTGTAAATAAGTGCTCAAATTAATTATCCTTGATTAACTGAATTTCTGGTATAGAACAATATGAAGGGCAGCAATGTATTTTAGGTATACCTGGACTGGTGGAAGTGGAAGGCAGATGCAGTTTAATGCTGTGAAATGATACATGTTTACAGGAAGAATGAAGCAAGGCATTACAAACTAAATGGTGCAATTTTAAAGGAGCTAGGGAAACACAGAGCACGAAAGTCTACATATACAATTCTTAGTTATATATGGTTCTCGATTCTGAAGAAGAGTCACTGGACCCAAAATGTTAACTCTGCGTTCTCTCCACAGATGCTGACAGACCTGTTGAGATTTTCAGCAACTTCTGTTTTTATTTCTGATTTCCAGATTCTGCACCTCTTTTGGTTTTTTTATTTAACTCTCATATTGTGACAAGTTAAGAAGATAGTTAAAAAGCAAAAGTTCTTGGCTTAACAAATAAGAACAGACTGCAAAAGCAAAGCTGTTATGCAAAGCCTTTATAAATTACTGACTGGGCTTCAGTTGTAGCACTGTCGCTGATTCTGGACTTTAAAGTAATCATGTTCCAACCAGTACCTGGGCAAATGTCTGCAATTCATTTCGGTTCCAGACAAGATACCTCTAAAACATTGTAGCCACATGTGAGAAGGGGGAACTGGTTACCCTTCTTTATTCAACAGTCCCTCATCTTTGTTGGTCATGACAAGTTTAATTTAACACAACAGATTCCTTTCTTCAGAAGTAACATTTACAGTGCCAATATATTTGGATGTTAATAGGAGCCAATTTAACCAGGGTTTCTTGGATTAAGGAAAGAGTGAGTTTACTAATTACTAGAATATGAAGAAAACTAATGAAGTTCAATATATATTTATATAGATTAGAAATGAGAAGTGAGAAAACTCATAATAGAGAAAAAAAAAATCAGTCTTTGACTGGTCTACAAGTAGTCCTGGCCTTTAAGTTAGGTGGTTCCAGTTGATTTGACATTGGCAGGTGAGCAGGTGGTCTAGGGATTCTTGATTCTGCAAGTTAGTCCAAGTGAGTTGTCCTGTTTCATCAGTGACTTCGTTGAATTACAACTTGCTTCCAGCAATCGACGAGAGAGAATCTTTCATTTTATCTAAGCATAAAGGTGCCATGTGGATGTTCTTCATCAATGGCCTTCACAGAACACACCAGCTCCACAGAACTAGAACACCAGACAAGGACAAAGATAAATGCAGTTTTTTTAAAATATATAATTGATTTCTTGTATATTCCTGGAATCTGAATACACAATCAAATCTTCCACTCAGAACAGCTTTCCATTATCTCACATCACAATCGGGATGGAGCTCACAGGAGATGGTTTCTACTGTAGTGGTAATCAACCTCCATTATTTCTGCGACCACAGGAGATTATAGTTCAGTTTTCGCATTGCAACTCTTTCTTTGAAGTGTCAGTCTGAAAGTCCTTGAACCCTCCAAGTTGCAACATTACACAGTATCTATTGGGACTATATATAATCTACCCAGAATTTTTTCAGTCAGTGAAGTACATTCTCAGAATTTACATTCACCAACATCTTTGCCTTATACGTCCTATTTTACAATTTAACAAAATAAAACCATCTTACTTAGAAGTTCAAAATGTCTAGAAGCAAATCCAAACGGTGATTCTTTTTAATGACAGTAAGGATTTGAAGCTCACTGAATGAGTGCTACAGAGATTTACTAGAATTGAATTAGCTTTATTGTCACATGCACTCAAATGAATACAGTGAAAAGTTTACAAGTCACCACTTACAACGCTATCTTAGGTTTAAGGTACCTAGGTACAGATTCTTCAGTACAAGTTCTTAGTAAAAAAAATTAGAAAAATAATGAAATAAAAAGTCAGTATTCAGATCATAGGAATGAATTAGAAAGTAGAAAATAAAGAAGTTCAGAACAACATCCTTCCAACACAGTCCACACTGGCACCTAGCCTCCAGTCCATGCTGGGACTCGACTCCAGATCTCGCCAGGCTTCACCTCGAGGTTCTCGAGCAAGAGACCACTCTGGAATCACTCTGAGGCTGGAAGTCAATGCTGAGGCCACGGCAGGCCAAGAGACCGTGCCGCTGAAAGACTGCCACACCGGGCCGGGAAATCGCCATGCCAGGCTGGGACACCACCACACCGAGCCAAGAGGATGCCATGCCAGGCCAAGAGACAGTCACGCCCAGCCAGGAGACCACTCCGTCAAGCCGAGAGGACGCCTCTTCAGGTCCACGCTGAGACGGAGTGTCCCAATTCCGTGCTGAGGCTGGGAGGCCGAGTCTGTGCTGAGGCCAGGAGTTAAGGACGTCGCCAAGAAGAAAGAAGAGAGAAAATAAAACACAGAAGAGAGGTCAAACGAAAGAAAATGGATGGAGCAGATGAGCTTCGGCTTACGTGTCCTCCTTCGTAGTAGAGGATGAGAGATTTCAGTTGTGTGGAGAAACTAGAGCAATTGAGATTGTTCTGCTTTAAGCAAGGAAGGCCAAGGGGATACTTAATGGAAGCATTCAACATTGTATAGGAGTTTAATAGTGTAAATAAGGACTAACTATTCTCACTGGCAGAAGGATCAGTAATCAGAAGACACAAGTTTAAATTGGCAAAAGAATAGATATGAGATTAGATTTAAAAAAATATAACAAGATATTGTGATCTGAAATACACTGCTTGAAAGGAAAATGGAAGCAGATGCAGTAGTAAGTTTCAAAATATGTCAAAGGGAAATAAATTGCAAACAATTTAGAAAGTGTGTGAGGAGGGGGACTAATTGGATAGCTCTTTCAATAATCTAGCACTGATATCATGGACTGAGAGGCCTCGTTCTGTGCTGCATCATTCTATGAATCCTTGATTCTATGAAATAATTTAACTTGCTGAGATGTGTTACAGTTAGCACTGAGCCTGCATAGTAATTGATAGTAGTACATTTCCCACAACATTTCTCCCAGTAAAATGATGCAATATGATAGAATATTATCTATCAAATAATGCATCAAATTCATTAACTTTTTTCAGCTTCATTCCTCACCTTTGATTTGAGTATTTCCCTATATTTACAATTCTGATTTTTTTAATTTGCCTGAGATATTCAGTAAAATATGATGATACCAAATATGGCAAAATTTGAGCTATGTTACAGTACAGGCACAAAAGGAAGGTTGATCAATCTAAATGACATATTGGAAGCTTAGAAGACATTGAAGTGGAAGGTTAGAGGGATATATCAACAATGATAAAATGGAATAAACACATGGAATTTATAGATGTTGGAAATTTGAAATAAAAAGATTGCTGGAGAAACACAACAGGTCTGGCAGCATCTGGAGGGAGAAACAGTGTTAATGTTGAGTCCAGTGACCCTTCGTCAGAAATGGAAGTTTGTGCCAGAGAGCTCATCGGTTACTTAACTGAATCTAGCCTCTGGTTTGAATCAGAATAAACCTCCATGTGTGCATCTTTCTAATAATTAATTTGTCAGTTGTTTACAAAATTATACTGATGCATCCAACAATTGCTGTTACCATGGATATTCAGTATACTTATTGGTAACATGTACAATGAGCTTAAAGGACAATTCCAAGAGGGCTACTATTTGCATGTTATGAGACATGATGTATAACAACAAGTGTTGAACACAAAGCGTAAACATAAATTGTAAAATACACATACGTGAGGATCATTATGATGTTTTTTGAAAAATTACAACTGATTAATCTAAATCAAGAACTCTGTTTTGCAAAAAAAAATGCTGCTCATGACATGGATTTTTAAAGGAATACTTTATTAATTTTTGTTAAGTTTGTCAATTTGCTAAAACGAGAATGTAACCAAGAATTATTTGATTTCTCATCTACATAAATGATTCAGCTCTCTTAGTTAATTATGGCAATGCCACTTACTCATCAGGTATTCTCTTCATAACAAGTTATGTTCTGTGAATGCTTCTAGCTCATTAAATCCTGTCACATCCTGTTACACAACACAGTTGAACTATTATGCAAAATGTTCCATGTGGAGATAGATTGATTATGCTCTGAATGTGTCACAGCTAGACTGAAAGGAGGTTTTCTTCACACTCATTCATCTGGAGGCCATTTTTCATGTCAGTTAAAATAGTGCTTCCAGGAACAATGTAAAAATTACTAGGAATATTTCATTGATGTTACAGTTACTCATACCATTACCTGAATATGCTGTGATCCTTTCAAAGTTAATTTCAGCCTTGCCAGCAACGTCATATAAATTTAGCCATATTACTTCAGCCTATGTAACTGATCATTTATTATTGGTGCCAAAGAGAAGAATGCAGATTCATTTAGAAATGACAGACAATTAGAATGAGAACAACTTAATTTGACAATTCTGTTGATATGGCAATGCTGCATACAAGGCTCAAGAACATTTCTAATGCATGGTAAACAGATTAACTTCAGGTCTGAACAAAGACACATTCTGAGGTGTACGTTTTGCATGTGTGAGCAAAGGAGGACAGACATTGATTATTTCAGTAAATGACACCGGTGAGTTAGATTAATTGTAGGAACAATGTATTGAGGCCATACCTTTCATTTATGCTATACTCTTTGATCTGGATTTTGTGCTTTTACCACTGGCACAACTGAAGCCAATTAGTGGCCACTTAAGGGCCTCATCCCATCACCACTAGTATTTCACTCATGATGCTAGGAGGTCCATATCATGTAGGAAACCCTGGAGCTTCAGCTGTTCAACTTGCTCTCAGGCAAGGACAGCGGTTCGGAGCCGGAGGGGTGGTACAGAATCTGCTTTGAGGCCCCCTCTTAGCCCATTGGAGGCATGTCCATTCAAGGTCAACAATTCTTCCCTGAGCTCTACTGCCAACTACTTCAACTTTGTCCCTCAATCCACTCACTCCTCTCACTGGTCAGCCCCAAACCGAGACTCTTCAGCACAGAACGCTACTTTTAGTCCAGCATTGGCTTCTGTAGGAACTCCTGGGATCACAGAGCCATAGACCACTTTGATTAGCTGAGGACTCTTTATGGCAAGACCCATTCTTGGGATAGGACCAGATATCTCACTTTTAAGCAATTAACGCTGTTTATGGCATTAACTTTGCAGAGAAGCACCTGTCAGGATCATGAGTGAGTTCTCTCTCTTCTTCCTAATATTTTATCTGGGGCAAGGGACAACAACACCCAGTGAAATCCAGCCCTACATTTGAGTTGCTTCCCTTCATCCTCTCCTAAACCACCATGTGAAAGTTGCTCCAAGATGCAGCCCCCAGCTGCCAGCTTGAATTTATAACTTTCTCTCCTGTCTTCTCCCATGCTCTTGTACAGACTCCTCAACTTGACTACAGCCTTCAACATGGATAACCATACCACTCTCCTTCAAGGTCTCTCCACTGTTGTTTAGCTGAATGATCTTGAGCTTTGTAACTACTGTAGTCAAAGAGTGTTCTCGCTCCCACATTATTTCTGGTATCCTCTTCAGACACCTCCTTCTCAACTACATGCATTCCCTCAACAGCATCATTCAAAAACAAAGCATCAGGTTCCACACGTATGACAACACACACACCATGTCACTAACTCTCTCATCTCATCCACTGTTTCCAAGTTATCAAACTGCTTCCCTGGCATCCTCTACTGAATGAACCGAAATTTCCTTTAATTAATGACTGGGATGACTAAAGCAATTATCTTCGATCCCCCATCACATACTCTCTCCTTTAATCACCGAGTCCATCCCTGTCCCTGGCAACCGTTGTCTCATATTTGACACTCAATCAGCTTCGAATTATGCATCCACATCATTGCGAAGACTGCTTATTTCAACCTTTGTAATATCGTTCAACTCAGTCATGCCTTATTAGATCTAGACATGACTATCCCAGCATATTCCTGGCCATCCTTCTATATTCTTCTTTCCACAAACTTGATCTTATCTAAACTCTACTACCCTTTACCCAAACTGGAATAAAGCTGTGCTTGCACATCTCTTCTATGCTTGCTGACCTACATTAGCTCTTTGTTAAGCATCCCTGATAGTTTCAAATCCCTCCAAATGAAGGCCAACATGAAATCCCCACCCTTAACTCTCCACCTCTCTTGGTAGAACACCAGCAGACATTGAAAATAGAACATTGGTGCCATGTCTTTATACTCTTACAATCTTTTAATTGCA